AGTAATTAGACCGATTAGCTTATAATATTTGTAAAAATATTAGTAATTAGACCGATGAAAATTAGCTTCTTAAAGTAGATAATGGATTTCCAGTAGTAATTATGAATTAGTTTCTATTTTATTTTATTTTTTCTTTTTAAAAATAATGGATTTCTAGTAGTAATTATGAATTAGTTTCTATTTTATTTTATTTTTTTAAATCTGTATAGATAAAGGATGAGATTTTTTAAACACGTGAGATCGTATGCAATGAGATTTTGTAACAGAAGAGATAAGCGTGTAGATGTATACTAAAAATAGGAAAAAAAAAACAAATATTTATTGTCAAACAACGGTTTTGATAAACTAAAAAAAAATGAGCCGATTTTTTTGCCTATTCAGATTTGTCCAACAATTACTATATTAAGATATATTTAATGATTTTGGCGGGAAAAAGTTTCTAAATTTGTAAAAAGGTTATTCTTTTTATATAATGATAGATTGATTTTGTTATCCACGACACATACATACACAAGGTTTGCATATCAATGCTATCCCCCAATAATAACTCTCATTCGTATCGATATGAATATCAAACTATACGCCAATTAGAACTAACAATAGTTTGTTAAGAAATCAGACAAATTTTAATTTTATTTACGAATAGGTAGATTTTATAATATTTATTATTTTATATATGTAAGATAGGTACGTAGACTGATTTGTCATGCACAAAAATAGTAGCAAAACAGATGCCATTAAATTTTGTAAAATAAAAAATAACCACAATTATAATTTAAACTAATCAATTATTTTATGGTTTTAAAAGTTATAACTACGTGAATATTCTAACCAAAGTATATATCCTAACTTACGCGAACGACAAATCTCGTATTAGGTCGTCTTAATTATCAGGCCAGTGTACTTTTTTTTTTCACCAATATGTATACTTTCTTTAAAAATTCATAAATTAAAAAATATCATATACAAATGTATTACAAAGTATGACATTAATAGAATAAATATTCATCTTTCATCATAGAATATAATAATATAGAGAAAGATATACAAACATAAAACGAAAACATCGTCCAATATCATTCACACATTCCGTCGTGTCCCTAAACCATTGAAAACCACAAATAATGTCCCCATTTATTTGACCATCTCTTAAACTTCACAACATGAAAAACGTTGAAATAATACTTGTGCATAATTCTATTGAAATTTATAATAGTACTCTCTCAATCAATATTAACAGCAACATGATATTTGGTAATAAAAATATATGTTTTTAATTCAATAATAATGTTTTAGACGAGTCATATGATAGAAAATGTTGTTGGAAAATATGTACCAATTATACATGACATATCTCGTCAATTTGATCTTCTGATTGACATGATTTGAATTACATTAATCCAATTAGGACCAAATGTTGTTAAGTCTATCTTCAACCCCTCTCATGCAGATGTTGAGTTTATTGACCTAATTTAAAGGTTTGATGTTTGATTAATTTGGACTATACTTCATTCTTTATCTAGAATAATTGCTTGGATAATAAGAATGCCATCAAATCTATAAGAGGACATAGAATCTCCTGGTGAGAAGCAACTTGAATATGATTGAGGGCATTATAAATTCCATTTTTAGTATCAGGCTATTTGCAGGTATGCGAGAGTAGGGGTGAGCAGCGGTGTAGTTCGGTGAAAAACAATATCACATCGCAAAAAATCGAACCTATAAATATAATAATCGAACTGCACCGCAATTTAGAAAAAAATCGAACCGAACTATACCCATGCGTGGTTAGGCTCGGTTTTTTGGTTTTATCACTATTTTTTTTTTATATTTTATTCATCTTGGTGCGATGTTCAGTGTGATAACACACCGAACCGAACTTATTATAAAGAACTATAACCAAAATCGAACTGAAATTTTCTACATTAAAAAAATCAAACTGAACCGCACCAAATTGCACGATTTTTGAATTCGGACTCAATTTTGCTCACAAAACTTAGCATTGTGAATCTTAAAATATAAGAATAGTTTAATGTTTCTATAGCACTTGGACTATAATGACAACATTTTTATACGTTATAATCGTTCACATTCTAAAAAACTTATATTTTTTCACCGACTATTTCTTTCCCATGCATGTCCTTCGTCTCTATTGTTGTCCACAAAACAAAAATCTATAAATAATTCAGTATCCAAAAGCTCACATATTAGAAAAGTGCTATCAAACAAGACAAAGCATATGATTGGCTTTTTTTATTAGCCATCCAAAGTCAACAATAGTTTGTTTAATTTTCTTATTTTAAAATATCTTACACATTCACATAATTATATTCATATCATTGACGTCCCAACAACTGCCCGACCCACCTTAGGGCTTAGGAGTACAAAACAATTATTATTAAGGTGGATCATTGATATCAATCAACAAATGAACGTGTTAAACCCAAAGTGATCTGGTCAAAACCTGGTTGACCAAGGTAACATGTCCGAGTCAAACTCAGTTTTATTTATTTTCTTAATAATTTTAATTATAAAAGTAAAATTATATATTTATGACGAGATACAGTATCACTTAAACTTTAAAATATAGAAAATACATGTAAATTATCTTTTTATTCTTATGTATATTTATAATACAAAAAAAGGACTAATATAATTTTTAAAATTATAAATTAATTATCCGACTTACCAATTATTCGCTTTTTTAGGGAAGAACTATATGAAGGCAAGTGGAGGCACTATGCCCCCCTTAATATTTTGAAAGAAAAAAATTATATATGCATATATATAATACCTAAAAATTATGTTGAATAAAATTTATATATTTATATATAATTTAATAATGTTAATTTCTTACCAAAAGATTCAAACTAAAAAATTGTTTAAGCAAAAAAAAAAAAC